TAGCAAATCCCACCCATCCTAGCTGAGCCTTTGCTCGCCAGACCTGTCATGGTGAAACTGGAAAGGCCGCCGGGCCATTATTTATCCCTCATTCATAAAAAAAGTGTTTGATTGGATCCAAAGATACCGTATTGTCCGAAGATCTCGCAGGAACAGAAGGCCCAGAGACCTTGTAGAAGAGAAGGTTTCCTAACGCTCCCGGGGACTTAACAGCTCAAGGGCAGCTGGTTCGCGAGTGCATCGAACTATTAGGCGAATTCTACAGCTACCCCGACCTATGCTTTGGTTGCTATTACTAGGTAAAAGAGACTTAGGAATTGATGTCTCAAGGTAGGTATCAGCATTTTTTGTTGTTCATGTCTATGGGCTCCCGTGACCACTTAATAACAGGTGGACTGAGAGCTCGTACATCAATCTTACTAATAATAATAAAGGTGGCAGGACCTCTTGGGAGTCCGCACGGGTAGGTACCACCACTCCGCCTATTTCCACCGTGAAGCAGTAATGGGTTTCGGTTTGAAGGGTGGGGCAGCCTTCGTAACTTACTGAAACCTTAGAACTTATATCTCAAGGTGGGTGGTGCATTTACTTTGTAGATGTATTTTGGGCTCCAGTAACCACTTAACAACCAGGTGGGCTGTGGCTCATCCACCGAGCAAATAAAAAAATAAAAAAACAGCACTGAGAGTAAATCATGAAGTGAGGCAGAACATAAGATCAAGTATTCAAGCTAATGTAAACCTTTTACCTTTCAAAAAGGAATATATAGTTATAGTAATATAATGGTTTTGTGACAGAAAGAACAGATTTTATCCCACCCGTCCTGGTGAAACTGGAAAGACCGCCAGGCCACCAGTAATCCTTCAATCATAAAAAAAAACAGATTTTTTCTCTCTCATAAAATTTCTATTTCACGTTGAGTTGATGAGTTCCAAATCATAATGCTGTTAAACTATTTTGTGTTGAAAACTCCTTCTTTGGTAGTGGTTAACTTTTATTACGCTTTTTTTTAATTGTGCGTGCAGATCCACCTTTAAAACGCCAGTTACTTTGCCCTGATCAATACCTAAAGCCGTAAGCATCACGATGTGAATAACACCTTGGGATAAAAAGACTTCTTCTTTAAAATTGTGTGTTTAAAAAATGTTTATTCTTTAAAATTAAACAAAATTGCTTTCGTTATAAAATTATTTACTGCAAAACCAATTTAAGGTGTTACGAAGATGTTTTTTTTTTAATTAATCTATACGAACGCCATAAAACGAACACGCGTGTCGTCGAGTTAGTTCTTCGCTCTGTTTATTTTTAAAAGAAAGCTTGTAACCATGCTGTTGTAACAGACTAAGTAACATCGTTCAAATTTTTTTTTTAATACCTCTGACGAATATGTGGTTTATATCCACTTCGACAAAGCGGCACGACACGAGAACACTCTCATCGTGGCCGCCGTTAACTACATTCCCGATCCTGCGGACAGAATGGAAAGCAGTCGACGTCGCCCAAAAAACACGTCATTTCGGATCCTAACGGTCCACTAACGGTACTTTTAGGTACCTCAAGCACAGGTCATCGTTGCTTGCGACGAAGGGCTCGACGAGTAAATTAACCCACAGACACACAGCCCACTGAGTTTCTCGCCGGATCTTCTCAGTGGGTCGCGTTTCCGATCCGGAGGTAGAATCTGCGAAGCACGGCTGTTGCTAGGGTTCGTGTTAGCCACGTCGTCAGGTTTGAACCCTGTGAGCTCAGCTACTAGTTAAGGTTACGCTGAAATAGCCTATCAAAAAAAAAGGTTTATATTTGACGCACTCACCGGCATCTATAGACAGAACATTATCGATGCCTATCTGAGCGGTCGGTTCGTACCTTCGTCGTCTATTATCTGTTTTCCCTTTTTCCTCTTTCCCTGTCGTCTTGTTCAGCTCAACGATCGTCTGTATTTATTTCTCTTGTCCAGTCTAAGAAAGTCACATTGTCGAGTCTCCCTTTTAGTCTCTCTCTGGTCATTGTAGGTAGTATGTATGGATGAAGTCGTAGTGGCCTAAAGGATTAGACTTCCGGTGCATACGTATTGAGCGATGCACCGGTGTTCGAATCCCGCAGGCGGGTATCAAATTTTTCTAATGAAATACGTACTCCACAAATATTCACGATTGACTTCCACGGTGAAGGAATAACATCGTGTAATCAAAATCAAACCCGCAAAATTATAATTTGCATAATTACTGGAGGCAGAATCTTTTGTGAGTCCGCATGGGTAGGTACCACCACCCTGCCTATTTCAGCCGTGAAGCAGTAATGCGTTTCTTTTTTTGCTTAGATGGGTGGACAAGCTCACAGCCCACCTGGTGTCAAGTGGTTACTGGAGCCCATAGACATCTACGACGTAAATACGGCACCCACCTTGAGATATAAGTTCTAAGGTCTCAGTATAGTTACAACGGCTGCCCCACCCTTCAAGCCGAAATGCATTATTACTGCTTCATGGCAGAAATAGGCAGGGTGGTGGTACCTACTCGTGCGGACTCACATGAAGTCCTACCACCAGTAACCAAGTGTTAAGTATGCAAGTAAAAAATTATCGATAGTAGTATTAGCAAGGTATATTGAGATGGCTATAGGGCAGCTACCATATCACTGTTAAAAAATTAAGAAGTGTAATTTCTAGAATAACATTAGGTGCTAAAAATCATCAACAAGATCACTTTTGGGGAAGACACTAGTCATTGTCAATACTGCATTAACTTACAGGTCTCATCTCAGATGTGATCCCTGAATACTAAACATAACTCAAGCAACATTCTTATTATAGGATACTCACTAGGGTAGTGTTAATTTATTGAAAAACAATTTAAAGTTTGCCTGTTGCCTTTTGACAAAATATATACAATATATAACTAGCTGTATATAATGTTGGATATTTTTAGAAAATTATTCGGTTAAAGTCATCTTTTATTTACTGCAGCCATTACCTGTTCGTAATCAGCTTAAGAATACCACAACATGATATCACCAGAGACTCTATTGAATAAAATTAAGTTTATTGTGTGTATAAACTGCTAAGTAATTGGTTAAATGTGGGAATGATGTAAGCATCTTAGATTAATGAATGGCTTCAATATTATAGGTAAGTTTGTTTTTTTATTCCATAGCTAACAAGCTTAAGACCTTTCTGGTGTTAAGTGGTAAGGGATCCCAGAGACGAATATGCGAATGCTACCACTTTAGACACAAGTTCTGAGTCTCAATTGTATAGTATTAAGAAAGTTTTATCAGACCACAATACTCCTTCTCGACCAATATGTAGTTAAGTAAAAAATATTAGGTATTTCTATACATTCCATACATATCAATTCTATACATACCAATGTTTACATCATCAGCCAACATTGATTTAACCTTGTTAATAATGTTGGTATGCACAATACATATTGTACAATGCTCATCAATTGAATTTATTACTAAGTGTTGAATTATAAATAATCTTGTTTCATTTTATAGCAGTCTGAATTTTTTTAAGGGCATAGATTTCTAGTATTGGTTCACTTGCAAACTAATTTTAGAAATCGTAATTGTGTTTCTGCATCACACAAGGCATTTCAATTCAAGGAGTGAGTTGTCCATTATTAAGAAACAAGTGGCATTTTGTATGGATACAAGTCACATATAGAAAGTGAATGTTTTTTTTTGTTTTTTTTATTACTTAGATTGATGGGCAAGCTCACAGCCCACCTGGTGTTAAATGGTTACTGGAGTCCATAGACATCTACGAAGTTAATGCCGCCACCCACCTTGAGATATGAGTTCTAAGGTCTCAGCATAGTTGTGACGGCTGCCCCACCCTTCAAAGTGAAACAGTTTACTGCTTCACAGCAGAAATAGGCAGGGTGTTGGTACGTACCCGTGCGGACTCACAAGAGGTCCTACCACCAGTAATAGCACAAATTTTGCAGATTTCATTTTTATTACACGCTGTTATTCCTGCACGGTGGAAGTCAATTGTGAACATTTGTTAAGTATGTCGTATATCATTACAAAATTGGTACCTGCCCGTGGGATCCGAACATGGGTGCATTGCTAAATACAAATGCACCGGATGTCTTATCATTTAGACCACAATGACCACAAAAGGTATAAATATCTCTTTTTGGATTAAAATTAGCCCCACATATACACAATAACTATCAATCGGAAAGGTTCTTAACATTTATATTAAAATTCTTAAACTTAACTTCCTTGACTTGCTGTCTTTATTGAATTGGAATATTAATTGTTGTCCTCAAATTTACATTAACAGTTGATCATGATGGAAATAAGCTAGAGTGTTATAGTTTAATGACGCTTGCAAAGGCAGTCGTAACATGCTTTACTAAGATTACTCAGGGTAATATACTGCAAACTGACATAGATATGATTCCGATGACACGTGTACCAGAACCCAAATTCTGATCAACAGTTAGAAAACTAGGATATTACACAATTTTCCTAACATACCAATGAGATTAATCAAAGGAACACAACATTTTCTTGAAATTGTGAATCTATATTATAAACATTACCATAGGAGTAACAAAACATTAACATAAATCATTGTAAACGCTACAAACAAACCAATTTTGATGGCTGTATAATGCAAAGTGTACTGTATTTGACAAGTACCACCAACTGCCAATGCCCATTCAAGTCTGGACTCACAAACCAACACTGTGGAGTGAGACCAATTACCCAATTCAATTTAAAAATAATTTACTCCTCTCTTTTTATTCTGATGATGATGATAATTGAAAAAATTTAATACCTATAAATTAAACATCAATGTCACAAATAGAACGAAATTTTTTTTTTTTCATTAAATTACGCATCATCTCCAAATATTGAAGAGTCAAATTTTTTCAATATAATCGGTTTATTTTGGTACTTTGTTTAATGATTTTGCACAAACTCTGGGACAAGAAACCAGAGTCTACGCACATCCTACCACTAACTATTATTCTACCTACCTTCATATCCGAAACAATCTGCTGGTATAGATTCCATAACGGCGAGCAATCCTTCTCAGTGGTCCCCTCCATTTTCGTTATACACAAAAACACTACAAGCACGGTCGAATTTTATCTAAGAAAGCTACACTCCTCACTTCTCAGAGCACGCCATTAAAATAAAGCAATAAATGTTTCATTTTTTTGTTACTTAATTCACAACAGTTTTCTAGTAAATTTCAAGATTACCTACATTCACACAAGAACATTGTTAGAAACATTAACAAATAAATCAATATTTATAAACACATTTCGTTCATAAAATAGTAATTTTCACATATTCCTATCGCACTACAGTTGGATAGTTTCTAGATACGTGAAGAATAAATGTTTGGGGGTACTTTAATTCAGAAAAACTTCAACAGCATTGAATTTCATACAAAACAAACTATCTTTACATCAATATCGACGCACGAATCTTACTAAAACGACAAACACACTCGCCGATCGGGCTCGATTTGTTTGATGCTGAACCGGTTCATTTTTTTTGTAAAAATTCACGGCCAACGGTAAATAGACCTTATAGTGTGTGCCAGTGCTGCCAGATCTTATAGTCAAAAGCAAAATTTTAATGGCGCCGTTTTCTGAGTGCAATTTTCAAGTTTCAATATTTTTTATTACAATTTTGAACGAAAAACATAAAATACACAAAAAGAAAACGATTTAAATTAAAATAAGTTGTACTAGATTACTGTGGATTCACAACCGTCCATCCCAGTTAAAATTAAATGACTCAAAAGAAAAGTATATATGTATTATCATTTATCATATTGTTGAGCTAAAAACTTCTTTAACAACGTTGTGATTAGCTACTCGACAAAACAAAGAAGTAATTTAAAAAAAAAACATTTACGTCCAGAATTTCATCTGTGAGGCAAATCTTTGGAGGTTTTCCTTCCACTATGGGTCAATTACAATTTTTTTTCCTTCTGTGAAATACACATCTAATAATGACTTTTTGATAAACGACTATTTATTTCGCAATGGTTATGACTCCCAGGCTACGGGCCAGTTTTAACATATTATTATGCTCAATTACCTATGAACTCAGTAATCTTAGCTGTGGCAGCACTGTCGCTGGTTTTTTTAACGGCTTGACGGCTTTTGGCAACTTAGCTTTTTAGTCTATTAAGGTAATTTACTGTAACTTAATAATAAGCTTTTTAAAGAACCCTTTAATCCTTTTCAGTTGTTTTTATTTCTGTTCCCACACATTTGATGTTTTATAATAAAAAAACTACGTTAACTATTTTGTGTGCCCAAAGACAGGCACAGTTGCCACAGATATTGTTTTGAAATTTACACGTTGCAGTTTCTGCCTTTCCAGTTTCACCAGGACGGGTGGACGAATTACATGGTTCAACTGGAAGGAAGATGGGTGGTAACAACCGCCCCAGTACCCCCGATTGTGGACTAGACTGTATCTGACCTAACATCCTATAGCAGCGAATCTGAACCAGGTGGATCCCTCAAAAGGTGTCTGGAGCGTCGTCGATCATTGACTGCTGCGTGTGGGTCATAAGTATCTATTAAACATTGTCTAGCATCGACAAGTATGAGATTCAAATCGTCATGAGGGTCCACATTCCTCACATATCGTGGTCCAAGTGCTAAAATTGAATTGAAATTGAAGATTTTGGAGGAGTTTTGTATGGGAGTGGGTTCTGTGACTGAACACAATATGTACTCCGATAGGTTATTAGAGGGCGAATGAAAACAACAAAATGTTAGTTTGTTGTGTTCGACTGATGTTGATCTAGTAATTGCTAAGATTTTAAGGTTGTTGATTGAAAATACGTTAATTTATAATGTAAGCATGCAAGTTTCTTTGTGAAAGCTTTCGATGTAACTTACTTTTTTTATCTAAAAATTAAAACTAGTGACTTTTACTCTTTTACAAATAGTGACGTCATAGTCACAGTACAGATTAGACAAAGAACGGAATGCTGCAAGATGCAGTCACGAAGAAGGTATCAATAAGAAAACAAAGTTTAAGCATTAGTAAATTTAATGGTTTTATTAGTTACATTTATGCAGTAATTTTACGCTCATCTCAAGGTTCAATTGTATTTTGTATCCATGGCAGGTATTCATAAACATTTGTGTAAACTCCAGGTATATCGATCTGGCCACACTTTTCGGGTCCGAAGCTCACAATACCGACTGCTTCGTATTTTTTGGAATGTTCATACATAAGAGGACCACCCGAGTCACCCTTACAAGAATCTTTACCTGCTTCACCGCCGGCACACATTTGTCCCTTCCACAATGTTATTCTTTGGCCATTGCGCAATGGTTTCTGGTTTGCTTCGCAGACCTATGTGTGCGACAAAAAGCTATCATTAAAATCAACCTAAATAAATATCTTTGAATTCGATTTATTAATTTCATTCTGTTAGGACTTTTTTTAATAAAAAAATTATAAATGTTATTTAAATTTTAGAACAGTTTTAGATCAAGAGATCTGAACCATAGAGTTTGACTATTTGACACAAGATAGGTACTGAATGACTTGAAAGAAAGCGACCAAATAAACAAATTAATTAAAAATAACCTAAAATATTCCTTCCGTATAACAAAACTCTGAACGCCGGTAATCACTCTGAATGTAGAAATATGTTTATTATATTAAACTATAATATAACTATATCTCATTATAATTGAACGATTTAAAAAAACATTCTTCAAACCTAAGACATTTTAATATAGAAGTCTTACATAATTTATTTTGAATGGAATTGAACAGAAAACAACACAATTATTGATCGTAAAATGAATTTGACGAATTTTTGATTTTATATTACTCACGTCTCGTTGTACAAAAGGCAGTGTTACGTGAAGCTTGATCTTGCTGCTTCTAACTGTCCCATTGTCGAACTGCAAGTATCGTCCCCAGCCAGCCACGGTCAGAGCGAATTTACTTGGCGGGTTCACTGTGTAATCTGTACTCGGCAAGCATATAGGCCTAATGAAATCTGAAATTAAATTCTCATTTTTACTGGTGCTAATAAACTGTCATAACGCAATACGCATCGTTCAAACTGCTTCGCGATAGAAATAAGCAGAACAGTAGCGCCCACCCGTGCGAGTTAACAACATACACTATAAAGGTTTTATGTGTGTGTGTTCTGGAGAGTACATAACGGTGGGCAGTGAGTTAGCTCTGCTCCTGGCTTCTGGTGGCCGTATACTCGTCTACCCATAGAAATTTAAGATTCGACTTTTCACTTTCCCGCCAAAACTTACATTACATTATTATGTTGCCAGCAATTCCAAACTGTAATTGAAAAACTACCAAAACAACATTACCTGTAAAAGGCGCGATGCTTTGCAGTCTGATCAACCCGATGTCGTGTTTCCTAAGAAAATGATAGGGCTGATAGTCGGGGTGAGGTATGGTCTTCTCAATGCCTATCTTGACCAATGGGTCCGTGCAATCCGTGCCGCCCGCTGATACGGACACGCAATCACGGCCCGGGTTCGTCGTGTTGTACTCGCCGAGACGCACTGTTTTCCTGAATATACGACGTATTATCAAAGCAAATATCCATCACATGTCCTATACATATTATAAATGCGAATATGAGTTCGTTCAGTGATTTGTACGATTTCACGTCTCAAAAATGGCAAAACGGCACAGAAAAAGACAGAGTGTATTTCAATTGGAAAAAAATGCGATTTTCGAGGTACAGATTTTTTTCTACATTAACACAAGATAAGCCGCGTGTAAGGGCTAGTCTACTTAAGTTTCCCTCCGCGCAATGGCATTTCTAATCCATGTAGCGCCCGTGTGCAATCGTTATCCTAGTGCTCTCTAGTCATGCAGTCAAAATGGAAAAGCTACAAATGTAACAGGTTCATTCTCAACACAGTCTCAATTACACTTGTATGGCTTACGCGAGTTGAATATATCAGAATTAATTTACGATTCAATGTTAGGTTTTTAGTGTGGGTCTTTGGTTTTAGTCAGGATGTAATGTGAAACTTACGGCGTGCCTACATCCAAGATCGCTCCTTTCACGCAATGACCGGCAGTGAGCACGTACTTCCCGCTGATGAGCGCTCCGCCACAGAGCAGCATCGTCCTCTCGAGCCTCACATACTCGATGACCACCAGCCAAGGATACGAGTCGATGGTTGCGGGCGCACCACCTGTTATGAGTAAGATATAGCCATATAAGCTATGGAAGTTGCTTGTCATGTAGACATAAACGATGATGACGTCACAGCTCCGGCAGAGGCCAGCTGGTGTGTATGAGCGACCGAACTTAGATCTCAATGAATCATCACACGGACCGCTGCTCTGAGAAGCTATCTTGCGACATATTGTTTTTTTTTATGATTGAAGGATTACTGGTAGCCTCTGAAAGTTCAGGACAGGCAGGTGAGCAAAGGCTCAGTTAGTAGGGGTGGGATTTGCTAACAGCTGCAAGAGCGCCTCCAAAGGAGACTTAATAACTCAAAAGCAGCTGCTTCGCTAATGAATCTACTACCGGATCGGAATCGCGACCCGCTGGGAAGATCCGTCGAGAAACTCCGCGGGCTAATGCATGGGTTATGAGGATGACACATTGTGCCCAGATTACTTTTTCGAATAAAATGTTTTGTTACTAGGATACATTTTTTCTCGTTCGAGACATACGCTGCGCAATATGGTTCAGAGAACTCCACCATTCTAAACGTTAGCTTCAACCGATAAATTAATAAAAACATTTTATTTCTAACTAACCTGTGCTACAAATGTAACGCCTCAGTGATCTTGAACGGCTCGTGTTGCCGTAAAACCTACATCCTGTTTTCTAATTTGAATCCACTTGTGACGCACAGTTCGAATTGAGTAACACATAACTCTATATTTATTTATTAGTCGGTTCTTGTGGCAAGCTCTATAGGCTCCAAAGCAGCTGAACTAAATATAATGAAATTTTCAGAAAATTTTCAGATTAGCCTAGCAGGTCGATCCCTGTTTGATAGTGATCGAAGACAAATCAAAGATCGGTCCACAAAGCGATTTCTACTGGACAAAGATAATGTAACGTTTTGACTTTGAATTTGAACTGATCAAGTAAAAATCCTTACCAAAACCCGACTTAACGAGTGCGTGCTCCAAGCCTCAGCTCGCGAACTATGTAGAACAGCTGTCAGGGCTTTAATAAACAAGGATTCCACACAACCACGACAGCTCTGCCAAGAGTAACCTATGACGATGAATGAATATCTAAAACTGTTAACTAACCAACGATTTTGTCTCCGACGGCTATGTCTCGGCCGCAACACTTCCCTTCCGGATTAGGGGGGGTGGCAGTCATCTCGCTCTGGCAGGCGTGCACCCGCTTCGGTCTGGGGGTCGTGGTCACTACCGTCGACTGTGGTGCAGTAACACAGCATATGCTCTGTTGTTCTGATCCTTGACAACTGGAATAATGATTAACAACTAAGTGC